GGGTGGGTGGACGGGCGAGGGGCTGCAGTGCAGCAGCTGCCTTGCTTCAGCCCCCTCAGGCAGCACCAGCTCGTGGGGCTGCGCTGCTCAGGGAATGGGGATGTGGAGCTATTTATTTCTCCTTTTTGGTCTCTGGGGCAGTAGCTGGCTGGATGCAGAATGGGTTGCTCCTGCCCCTGTCCACCAGCAGCTACCATGAACCTTGCAGTAACAGACAGGTGCAGTAGGGCTACACAGGCAGGGTGTCTCTGACCCAGGACAGAGGTTGTTTGAATATGGCTTGCGGCCCACTGGGTGATAAAAAGTTCATGATCTGGCCCCACATTCAAAAATGTTGGACCACCCCTGCTCTATGATATGTTTAGATAGTAGTATATAAGATTATTTGTCCTTTGATTCTGTCATAACAATCATTCTGTTAGTCTCTGTGGCTTGGGGTCCCATTACCTATTGAATGTTTTTTTGTATGAATGCATGTGTTCTTTCAGTGATTTCTTCACAGCCACTGTTTTTAACAACACTGGGACATTTCTTTATTTTAAGCTCATTTACAACACAGACAGCTCTATTCTTCTTACTTGTAATATTACCAAAAAGCTTTCCATTACAATTTCCAATGGACACAAATGATTTGTACTTCTAACTACAGCATTTAAAAATCATGTAAGACACTTTTCTGATTAAAAGTGCCTACATCTTGGGTCCTTTTTTTTTACTTCCTTAATTTTTACCTGAACTCCAGCATCTTTTCCAGTTACGTATTGTGATATATCCATGCGTGTATAACAGTAAAACCTAGATTCCTCAGCTCCCTGTGAAGATGAGGGTTTGTGTACTTGTCAGGATACACAGGACCACATCAATGTTAGGTGAGACTGCTTTTGCTGAAACTTATTTCAAAGGATGCAGTTTTTCCAGTCATCTGTGTGGGACTACTCTGGTGCTCCAGCTGAGTGGAGAAGCTGAATCCTTTGCTGCAGTTTTTACTTCAATCAGTTGATTGCCTCATCATTAATTCAGTAATCTGCTGTAAATTAAATGGGTTGCAAGCCCCGGCAATGCAAAATATCCAGGTTCTACTGCATAATATTTTTAAAAGGGGCATTTTTTTCCACCAGCAAACTAGAAATATGACTGCTAGCAGCCTGCTTCTGAATTTTTACCATTAAGTTACAGATTACTACTAGGCTTGTGTGAAGCAGCTAGCATTCACTTCGGATTCGGCCGATCTGGGGGACAGTGATTTGAATCATGTCCCTAACTGATTTGGCTAAATCTGATTCAGAGATTTGGCTACTGCTGAATCAGCCGGATCTCTGAATCACAGAGGCCCCATCCCCCACCGCCAGCAACGGCCATCTTGCCTGCCCCAGCTCCTGGCACTTTGAAGAAAAAAAAGCCCCTACCCACCGGGTCCTGCCAAGCAGGGGGGGCTGCCCCCCACCTCCCCCAGTCCTCCCCTCACTGTCCCAGCCCCCCATGGCTGCCCACCCCAGCT